GGGGAACGAATTCGAAAGAGGTAGCAACATGTTGACGCGTATTTTGCGTCGAAAACATACGGAACAAGTCGTCACGTAGGGCGGGGGCGGGAACGGGGCGGGGCGGCAGCTGCATTCGGGCGACGTTTGCGATACACCGACGAAGCTCACGAGACCGGCTGTTACAAACCACAACTTTACTTTGAGCGACCTAAGGCCGTCGATTCTCCGACGGGGAGGCGACGCCGACGACTTTCCCCTTTGAGCGACGAAAAGGTTCGGGGGGGTCGACGGCTTGGCCGGCGATATATGTGCGAACCACACTTACTCGCAGTTCTCTGCTTGTTGAGATATGACGATTGTGTCTTCGGACGTATGACTTATCAAAAGCGATCAGGATTGTCGCTTGAAATTTGTAACACACGGAACAAATGACAAACGGTGGAGTCTCTGTCACACTATGAACAGTCGTAATAACCAGTCGGGGACTAGTTTTACGTGACATTTGTTTCCGGACGGTATGACTATATACATCAAAGTGTCAGTGAATAACGCACACAAATGCAGGGTGGAGTCTCGCACAATAACAGTCCTAATAAGGTTGCGAGTAGTTTATGTAACCGGAGTGAATCTCGGATAGGAACAAGGACACGCGTCTACCAAAAGTTGCAGCTTATTACCGGTTAGAAGCAGCTACACTTACACATTAGATTGTAGAAGTCATTCTTTCTATTGCCAGTTTTCTCACGTTTATCGTTCAAATAGACTCTTGCACCACATGTATACTTGATTTTTAAATAGTTCGTTAAACTCTGGTAGCTTTTTGAGTAGTTTCAGGCACTTTAATTTCTGCTTTATTATGGAGTGTGGTTTACACTTCAGACGAACGTACTGTCCGGATCCGGACACGTCCACCACACGATAGAGCGGAGTCGTACCCGGATTCAAGACCATCCAACGTCGGACACAGTCTAGGAGGAGGAGTCCTGGACATCAGAGGAGGGAGTCTGCAGACCAGGAGAGGGAGTCGGACCGGAGGAGGTAGGGAGTCGGAGGCAAGGAGGAAGATTCATTGGACAGGAGCGAGGGAGTCCGGACCAGAGAGGAAGGAGTCGGACCCAGGAGAGGGAGTCCGGACCAGTAGGAGGGACCGTCGGACACGGAGGAGAGACAGGAGGCAGGGAGTCGAGCACCGCAGGAAGGAGGAGTCAGGACCAGGAGGAGCGTCCCTTTCTGGAGCCAGAGAGACCGGTGTTGGTTGTCTGTCCTCGTAAAGTATTTGGACTCCAAGAGGGGGTTTCAGAGAATTAGTAAGAAGGACACTTATACTCTCCCCAGACACATGTTGTATCCACCATTATCGTACGAAACCACCTGTTATTCTATCTATATTTCAATTGCACCTCCAAGCGAGTCAAAACATCTAAAACTGTCGTCCCAATTATTATGTTTGTTTTCCTCGTCCGCGGGCATTT